CCTCGTTAAGTGGCCCTCCACCTGAAGCAATTGCCCACCCCTACTCTAGCACCCCGCTGGCTACTCTAGCCACTGTAGGCATGTGGCTGCATTTCCTGAATCAAAGGTAAAAATGTCCGTTCACTTCTCTTTCAATTTAATCTGTGCAGTTTAGACTAACCTGCAAAGAGGGAATCGATTCAGCCTTGGGCTTTTTGACTCTCTGTACTTAGCCTATAGGAATGACGTATTGAGGATGCACGAGAGAGAGATAATATCCTCATCGCTATGGCTGTTGCCGTAGGTTGTTAAAATGGCCTTAGATTTTAGAATGACACCAGAGAGTTAATCCCATTACAAACTGCCTTAAAAAGAAAACAAGACAAAAAAAACCTGAAATCAAAACAAACAGGAATTTTTCTGTACAAATTAATTGGATTCATTTTACGTGTTCATATTTTTCTCTCTTTTGGACCATTTCTGGCTGCAGACATCTAGCACACCCTGACTGGCAGCTGGCTAAAACATTCATCATTACCATTCATTTAAAACTACAGATACATACTTCAGTCTGTGAAACCAAGATATCTCCAAATATTAAGTTGGCCCTTTCTGGTCTTTTACATTTATGGTATGTGAAAACTGACTTGCAGAGCCATTGCTTGGGAATGTCAAATTGATGCAGCAACAATACAGACAAACACACAACCATGTAAGTTCCTTTTAGATGGATCACAGGATTTGTTGGCGTTCTCTCTTTCCATTTAAAGACAACATTTTTTGTTCAAATAGGCAGTCTAGCTAAAACACTACTTTACACTGGCATGTATTTTACAATACTGCTTTACATTGTAATGTATTTTACATTAAAATACAGTTGTGGCTGCTGTGGCAGGGATTGTTTCTTTCCAAGAACAAAGCAAGCAAAATTGTTCCACAGTTATGTAGCATTCCCTTGGTTATATATAGTCTGTTAGACTGTGTTGTAATAAGCCTGTAGGACATTCAGCTCTTCCACATGCTTCCTTGCTATGGCAAAGGGAAACCACAAAAGAAGTCTCCTAACTCCTAAATGAGGCATGTAAGAAAGTGGCAAGAACCCAGACTCCTTGGGCATGTCTACACATGTGCTTTAATGTGTATTAGCCTATGTTTTAAAGAGCATTAAAGTATCACAAAAAACTGTGCTCTTTAGCTAATACACATTAAAATAAACTAATGCACATTTTCCTAGTACCTCACAATGGAGATCCTAGATTTAATGTGCATTACCTAAAGTGCAGTAATTGAACTTGTAGATGTGCCTCTTGTTACATCTCTGCTCTAGCCGCTAGATGCTAAAACCTTCCCTAGGCAGGATCCAGACAGATTCTGACAAATTATGTTAATGTTACCAGAAAACACCCTCTTGCTGTTTCCATAATTAGAACTTCCTTAAATCTTGTGCCGTCCCCTTTAAAGATCTCTTTACCAGCAAAACCTGGGCTTTCTCTACTTAATAGCGTCTTCATTTTTGTGAGAAAATGCTTACATTTATGACTCTCCTGGTCTTTCTGTTATCCCACTGTAAGCCATGGATCTGTTATTTATCAACTGGACCTAATTCCAAACTGCAGCCATTGCCTAAACGTACTCAAGATCTTTTTCTCTCTTTTATAGTTCAAGCCACTCAACAAACTGAAAATTCAAAAGAGAATGACAATGGTAAGTTCTCCTTTTTTCAGTTTTACTATATGAATTGCTACCGAGCCTGCTAATTTAAAATGCTGTTGTTTTCTTCAGCCTCCTTTTATTTATGTATAGGATGGGACAATTAAAAATGACCAAAACAAATTTTCTCTATATTCTGATACATAGAAAATCCTGTGTATATTCACAAATGCTTAAAGTTTTTTGCATGGACATTAGTAAAGTCTCACAGCAAACTTACACAATTTCCTTTCTACCCTATCTGACATACTGTAGTTGGCTCTTGGAGTATACTTTCCATCACACATAGTTGAAAGATTATTATTATTCTCTATGCATGTGTGACATTTTTTTCCTACAACCACATTTCTCAATATTTAATGAAAATAAAATAAAACCATCTCTCTTAACAGACGGTGATGGTTGCAAAAGTTAAGGAAAGAATAAATTTAAACCTTCATTTATGACCTTAACTCAGCATGTTTGTGCACATACATCATTATGACACTGTCCTTCCTTACATGTTCAAATATGATTTATCATTTATCAACTCATTAAAAGGAACACACCCTTTTTCCATACGGCTTTAAACACGCAGTGTCTGCTTCTCCCAATCTTGTATCTTTACATTTTTACCATTGCTGTATCAATTCAGAAGATTTTGATAGGCTTAGGGTACGGACAGCTGTCACTTCTGAATTGTTTCCAAGTGCAGTTGCACTTTGAAGCACTTAAAAAATAGAGTGTCAGCCACAGACAGATGTATAGCCCCCTATGTACATGGCTGCATGCAGTGGCATGCGCTGTAACTAGGGGGCTGCCGTGTCATGTGGCTTTGTTCCCCTGCCAGGAGGGTCGTGGGAGCAGACCTGACTGTCAGTGACAGGTTTCATGTGCCCTCTACCTCCACTCTATTGGAGAACCCTCACCACAACCAGGAGAGCCACACGTGGATGCAGGGCCTCCCACCTCCTAGTTCCAGCAGGAAGGTGCTCTGAGAGTAGAGGCAGAGCTCGTGGGACAGCTCATTTCATTGACTGTCTGCTCCATTCTCCCCATTCCCTCCATCAGGGCAGAGCATGGTGCATTGTGGGATGCTGGAGGACTGAGGCTTCTGTTGCCATGCTCCATACAACTTCTAACTAGTACTTGTTTTCTTCAGGGCTATTTTAGGCTCACTTCCATCATTTTCAGAATACTTGAACAGGTTCATGTGTCTGTCCACTTGCTCTCTGAAGCAATTCAAGTTACAATGCCTTACGCCCTTAAACTGTATACATGTTCTCCTTTGGATTAAAAAGGGATGCATTTTTCATATGACAGGCCAGAGCCATGTAATGATAGGAGATGAAGCAGCTAAATAGCTGACATCTCCGCCAGCTGAGGTGCTCATGCCAGAGGCAGGAGCTTTACGTGTGCAAAAGGAAAAGGATTCCATTCTGGGAATCGCTTAATGGAGGAACAAAGTTTACCCCCATTCCTCACATTGGAGGCACCTGTTCAGCCCCATACCCCTAAGCAGATGGCAACAAGAAGCAAATACAAAATGCTCATTTTAAGAAAAAAAACCCTGGAGGGTGAAGATATGTTAGATGGCGGGTTATTATCTCAAGGGAGGGGCAGGAAGCAAGGTCGCTTGCTATATTCAAAACTAGATGAGAAGAGGCAAGAGTGGCTGTAAAATCAGAAGCACCCCACTCTGGCTGGGAGATTTGCCAAGGTTATTAGACTTGCTCCATCTCTAGATATTTGGCCCTTTGCTCTCAAAGGCCACCAGGTTCTCTCTGTGCCCAGTCAATTGAAAGCTGCAGCTCTATCATTTAGGCATTCAGGGGACAAAGAACACCTTCTTTTGCAGAAGAAGCACTTCCAAAACTATCAATGGATATTTCCCCTTTCACTACAATTGAAGAAGGAACATGGCTGAACATCACTTGCTCCTACAGATCAAGGTGTACCACTGGGAAAGCAAGAATGGGCATTCACAAGGATGGAGAAAAAAAGGACCTCACACTTTCATATGATTCTGCAAAATGTTATGGCAGCTACATCAAAGAATCAGCGAATGTCTCAGATTCAGGAGCATATAAATGCCAATGGTCAAGCAACAATTACACAGAAGAAACAGAACCCAGTCAGATCATTGTAAGAGGTAAGAAAGAAATCCACTTCAAGGGAAAGAAATAATTTTGGAACTGTAGACTAGAAACTCCTGAGATATAAGCCCAACTCTTGCTATCTCATTATAGCCTTGGGGGAGATCAGTGCAGCTCATTGCCTCTGCTTCATCACCAACACTTATCTATCTTGCAGAGGGGTTGTGAAGATTATGTAATGGGTGTCATGGGCTTTGACAATAGTTTATGTATACTGGTATTTTTACTCCATCTGAGCTTCTGTACTGAGGAAAGAAAGCAGTTTTTTGTAAGCAAGAAAAGTCTGTACTTGCAGATTCCAATTCACCCCTGCTGGATAATTCAAACAAACACCAGTATCAGAGAAAATTAGGACTGGAAGGGGCCTCAGGAGGTCATATATAGTCCAAGCTCCTGCTTAAAGCAGGCCCAGCCCCAGCTAGATCATCCCAGCCAAAGTTTGTCTAGCTAGGTTTCGTCCACCACCTCTCTCGGTAACTCTTCCAGCGTTTTACTACCCTCCTAGTGAGATAATACTTCCCAATATCTAACCTCAACTTCCCTTGCTGCCTCTTGAGACCACTGTTCCTTGCTCTGCCATCACTGAGAACAGTTCAGCTGCATCCTCTTTTGAACCCCGCCTTCAAGTAGTTGAAGGCTACTACTAAGTCCACTTTCAGTAGGAACAGGGTAATGCCTCTTCATAACCAGAGCAACACGCATGCTAGGACCATAATGCATTTCACAGATGTTAACTAAGAACTTTATTTTAGAAACCCATTGCATATAACACTCCACAGGAAATGTGTCCTCTAGGGTATTTCACCCCAGTGAAAATAAGAGATGCAATAACCACATCCAGCCTCAGAAGATTTATCAAGAAGAGTCTTCTCGGAATTTGTGCTGCAGGCACTCAGAACAGATATATGATTAGCATGTAAGATAGCTCTAACAGATTGTTTTTGTTCCATATTTCTGATCATCTGATGTCATCTACTCCTGAAAAGGTCATTATAAAAAAATTTTTGTGCCCAGAGACATGCTTACGATGAACATAGATGACTTTGATTATTTTGGATCAAAAATATTCTGATGGTAGATAACAATTCATTTATTTAATTCCTGTTTTAAACTTCATGATGTTTTTATTCAAGAGGCTGTTTTGGTCCATCTAAAGCTCTTGGGCTGGTGATCATGTTTTGTAATATAGCAGCTCCAAATCACAGAAGCACATATTGGTGCTGGGAACTCATGCCCTTGTCCCCTTTCCCTGATTTTATGACATATAGTTCTCTTGTTCAGCAAAATCAATTCAGATAAGGTTCAACTCTGCAGCTGCAATGACCTTCTCAGGCTAGGGAAGGACATGACTTCACTGAGGGACAAGTGAACTATTTAGTTTCCTGCTCAGTTTTCTGACCCAGGTGGGATAGCACATTCAGGCTCACAAAGGGTCTGAGAATGATTTGAGTCTTAAGGAAAAACAAGATCTCTTCAACTTTACCATAGCTCTGGCTGATGAACAGTGACGGTTTTCTCTTCACCCTTGTTTAACGAGGATGGCATGCCCATGATTACACTAGCTGTCCCCAGAAACAACAGATAGAGCCCAGTTATGGTTTTACTCATAAATGTTTTCTTTCTTCAGAGCTGCTATCTAATCCTGAGCTCAAGCTACTCAAGGGAAGCTCGGAGGTAATGATAGGCCAGAATGTGACGATTACTTGCTTATCAGACTCTGGCTCTCTTCCAGTTAACTATACTCTTTTTAGAGACAATCAGAAACTATTCACTGAAACCATGAATGTGCGGAGGCCAGCTACGTTTATCTTAACTATCAAGTCCGCAAGTGATATAGGCAAATATACATGCAAAGCCACAAATGAAATCCTCAAGGAAGCAAAATACAGCAAGAGTTTCAACTTTACATTAATAGGTAGGTGTTATGGTTTCTGTTCCATTTTGCAACATCAGGAAATGCAAGTTGATAATAGTTAACCCCACAAAGTCTTTAATACTTTGCCATCTATCTGAAGAGCTATGATTAATGCATTAAGTATAGACATATGATTTTGGAATTTTACTTGTAAACACCAAGAGCAAGAGAAGGCTCTAAGAGCAAAGAAGCTACAATCAGACCGCCGGCACACATTCACTTAATGGTGCAATGCAATCTGACCTCTGATTCCAACAACTGTGCCTCCTGCTATGCCACATTTGCATGGCAAGAGGTGTGATTTTGGGATCAGGGATCAGATCTGAATTATGCCATTACCATTTGCCAGTACATGGGGAGCATGTGATGATAATCGTGGGCTCCTCCTGTACTGGCAAGTTCAAAACCAGGTGCTGCAGCCCTGTACATGGGGCCAAAAATCAGCTGATTCTCATCCCCAACCTCAAACAAGCCTGGGTCTGGTTTACCCAACATGTCAAGAACAGCCCTGAATTTGAGATCTGAGGCCAACAAGTAGCTTATTGTCAAAACCTCATGCCCAGCAGTTCTGGTCAGGCTGCCAGGCACAGGAGATCAGAGGCTCCTGACAAGGGGAGCCTAGGCAGCACTCTTCTCATTTATGCTGTGATCAACATGTTAATCACAGCATAAATGTAATAAGGACAGGGGGCTTCAGAAATGTGTAAAAAAAAATTGTTCCCTGATTATCTGCCTGTCTCATATAAGAGAAGTACCTCAACTTGGCCTTGCTGTGATAAAGACTTCATACACACAAGGTGGCTTGGGAGTACAATGAAGGACCATGTTAGGACTACAGATAACCCCACTCCTCTTGATATCCCACATTGATCTTTGAACAAAGGTTTAAAAAAAGAATAAAAACTATTTTAAAGGAAAAAGACTAAGTACTCGATAAGCCATTCAAGCTGCAGCCATAACCTTGGGAGATGTGCTACAGAAGTTTTGTAACAGTATGTTTTTGTCTGGAGCAGCAAGTCTCAACCAGGGTGCCATGGGGTGCCACCATTACATGTGCAAACGTGATTCACAAGATGAATTCAGAGGTTTCAAATAGGAATCCATAGTATTAAAGACATTCTAACCTGTTGTGGTCTTCTGAGTTCTTCGCAACAGAACAATCACTCTGATTTTTTCATCGTCACAAAAGAAATAATGCTAAGAGCTGACAGGTGCCTTGAGTCTAGAAATGTTGAGAACCACTGACCTAAACTGTCACAGTGTAAACGGGTGTCATTCTATTGGGATCAGCAGAAGTTGTTTCTAGGCATGAAGGTCACATCCGAGATGGTATTTAATTTTGCTTTCTTATGATTCTCTCTCACAGAAGCTGTGTCCCAACCAGTGCTGAGCTCACCCACTTCCCGAGTTAAGACAGGCCAGAACGTGACCCTCTTTTGTCTCTCAGAGAATGGCTCTCATCCTATCACATACAGATTTTTTAGAGGAAATAAGAGTATATCACCTCCTATATGTGTAGAGGGGAAGGCAGCTGCTAATATTTCTTTAACTATCAATTCTTCCGATGTTTTGGGTGACTATAAGTGCAAAGCTGAAAACAAAATTCCCAATTCAAAGAAATACAGCAACAGTCTCAGGTTTACCCTGTCAGGTATGTGTTTGATAATCTTTACTAGCACTACAGTGTTAGAAGTGGGGGTACCATGTCCAGCAAAGCAGAGATCTTTTGGTTGTATTTTTTCTTCACAAGAACTTTACTCTGGAGGTCTAATTGCAAGAGACGGTAGTTATTTCAAAAGACAGAGCCCAGCTTAGGTTGTAAACTAGTACTTAGGAAGAGAGCATGAAGAGCCTCCACAAAGGAGTCGCCTTTGTAAATAGCCCTGGCTTTGCTCTAAATCAATCCCAGAGAGATTTAATAGATCTAAATTTCAAATCAATTCCCTACTTCCTGCTACATGGAGAATCTGTCCCTTTATTCCTCTAGATAGCTGTGGGATTTCAGTCACAAATCCTTTCCTTCCTGTGCAGATCCCACGCCATGCTACTGTTTTATTTACTACTGGCATGTCAGACTGAGAAAAGAAATGCTAGGGCTTGATCTTAAACTTAAAAAAAAACAAACAAACTATGAACAGGAAACAAAATGAAATTTGTTGCATGTTTCTATAAGCCTCCTTTTTTGTCTTTTTACAGAGAAGGCAGGCATCTCCTATCTACTCTGCATTTCTCTTGTGGTCTTCCTCCTGCTGGTGGTAACGGTGATTGCCGTGGCAATTCCATTTCTCTTCCTTCCTTGGTATAAAGCAAGTAAGTTACTTTTGATTCTCTCTCTCTCTCACTCCTTTGGTGGGTTTGAACATTTTCTGGAAGGAAAGTAAGACCTTTGCTTAGGAAATGCCTACCCAAATGAAAAGTTAACTTGGGGTATTGCTTGGGGAGTTTGAGACACCCTTCTCTTTTCAACTGACCCCAAGTGTTTTTTAAAGGCAGACATCCAAGCAAAATGATTTTTGGCAATGTTTTAGGCCCCAATCCCATCACAAGTTATACAACTCCATAACTTTGTTTACATAATTGATTCCATTGAATAGGACTTCTTTCATTACGTAAGTGTTTGCACAATCAGGATCTTATGGTAGAAGGGTAAGTAGAAAAAATCTCTTTATAAAAGCACATGTAGCACCTGTTAGATCTGAGAACAACTCATTTTTTATCTAGTATCTCTATCTAAACTTAAAATAGAAATTTGGGAACAACTCTCCCAGTACCTACATACAAAGTAGAGACATTGTCAGATTTGAGTAGCACTCCTTTTAAGGCATGCTCATTGGCAAAAACTGCTTTATTTTAAATCATCATTAAAAAGTCACAGGACATACTTTTTTTTTTTTTTTTTTTTTTTTTTTTTTTTTTTT